CACAACTAAGAGTTCTGGAATTCCCATTCTTTGCAATGTTATCCATAACATGTGAGCTCAGACATAATAAAGGAATCCCAAATCCCACATTAAATATAATTTTTCTAATATGATATAAAAGTAAGTTTTAGTTAAGCAGGTCTTTCGAGTAAGACTGCCCAGGTTCAAATCCCAGCCTATTACCATCTGTGTGACCTTAGACAAATTCCTCAACCTCTATATGCCTCAGTTTTCTCATCCATGAAATGTGGATGATAATGTTGTTGTTGTTAGGTGCCATTGACTCGGTTCTGACTCATAGCAACCCTATGTACAACAGGACAAAAAACTGCCTGGTCCTGCACCATCCTCACAATCGTTGTCATGCTTGAGCCCATCGTTGCAGCCACTGTGTCAATCCATCTCATTGAGGGTATTCCTCTTTTTCACTGACCCTCTACATTACTAAGCATGATGTCCTTCGCTAGGGACTGATCCCTTCTGATAACATGTCCAAATTATGTGAAACCTAGTCTCGCCATCCTTGCTTCTAAGGAGCATTCTGGCTGTACTTCTTCCAAGACAGACTTGTTCATTCTTTGGGCAGTCCATGGTATACTCAATATTCTTTGCCAACACCATCATTCAAAGGCATCAATTTTTCTTCTATCTTCCTTATTCATCATCCAGCTTTCACATGCATATGAGGCAACTGAAAACACCATGGCTTGGGTCAGGCGCACCTTAGTCCTTAAAGATACATCTTTGCTTTTCAACACTTTAAAGAGGTCTTTTGCAGCACATTTGCCCAGTGCAAAGCGTCGTTTGATTTCTTGACTACTGCTTCCACGGGTGTTGATTGTGGATCCAAGTGAAAAGAAATCCTTGACAACTTCAATCTTGTCTCCATTTATCATGATGTTGCTTATTGGTCCAGTTGTGAGGATTTTTGTTTTCTTTATGTTGAGGTGTAATCCACACTGAAGGCTGTATTCTTTGATCTTCATCAGTAAGTGCTTCAAGTCCTCTTCACTTTCAGCAAGCAAAGTTGTGTCATCTGCATAACGCAGGTTGTTAGTGAGTCTTCCTCCAGTCCTGATGTCCTATTCTTTTTCCTACAGTCCAGCTTCTCAGATTATTTGTGCATCATACAGACTGAATAGGTGTGGTGAAAGGATACAACCCTGACGTACATCTTTCCAGACTTTAAACCACGCAGTATCTCCTTCTTCTATTCGAACGACTGCCTCTTGATCTATGTACAGGTTCCTCATGAGCACAATTAAGTGTTCTGTAATTCCCATTCTTCACAATGTTATCCATAATTTGTTATGATCCACACAGTGGAATGTCTTTGCATAGTCAATAAAACAGAGGTAAACATCTTTCTGGTATTCTCTGCTTTCAGCTAGGATCCATCTGACACCAGCAATGATATCCCTGGTTCTACGTCATCTTCTGAATCTGGCTTGAATTTCTGTCGGTTCCCTATTGATGTACTGCTCCAGCCACTTTTGAATGATCTTCATCAAAATTTTACTTGTGTGTGGTATTAATGATATTGTTTGATAATTTCTACATTCAGTGGGATCAACTTTCTTTGGAATAGGCATAAATATGGATCTCTTCCAGCCAGTTGGCCAGGTAGCTGTCTTCCAAATTTCTTGGCATAGACGAGTGACACTTCCAGTGCTGCATCCATCTGTTGAAACATCTCAATTTATATTATGTCAATTCCTGGAGCCTTGTTTTTTGCCAGTGCCTTCAGTGCAGCTTGGACTTCTTCCTTCAGTACCATTGGTTCCTGATCATATGCTACCTCCTGAAATGGTTGAATGTCAAACAATTCTTTTTGGTACAATGACTCTGTGTATTCCTTCTATCTTCTTTTGATGCTTCCTGTGTTGTTTAATATTTTCCCCATAGAATACTTCAATATTGCAACTCAAGGCTTGAATTTTTTCTTCACTTCTTTCAGCTTGAGAAATGCTGTGTTCTTCTCTTTTGGTTTTCTATCTCCAGGTCTTTGCACATGTGATTATAATACTTTACTTTGTCTTCTCAAGCTGCCCTTTGAAACCTTCTGTTCAGTTCTTTCACTTTGTCATTTCTTCCATTCACTTTAGCTACTCTAAATTCAAGGGCAAGTTTCAGCGTCTCTTCTGACATCTATCTTGGTCTTTTCTTTCTTTCCTGTCTTTATAATGACCTCTTGCTTTCTGCATGTATGATGTTTTTGATGTCATTCCACAATTCATCTGATCTTTGGTCATTAGCGTTCAATGCATCAAATCTATTCTTGAGATGGTCTCTAAATTCAGGTGGGATATACTCAAGGTCTTACTTCGGCTCTTGTGGACTTGTTTTAATTTTTTTCAGCTTCAACTTGCACTTTTGCATATGAGCAATTGATTGTCAGGTTGTCTTACTGTGGGGGCTTGCATGTTGCTGTGATGCTGGTAGCTATGCCACTGGTATTCAAATACCAGCAGGGTTACCCATGGTGGATGGGTTTCAGCTGAGCTTCCCGATTAAGACAGACTAGGAAGAAGCACCTGGCAGCCCACTTCTGAAAAGAATTAGCCAGTGAAAACCTTATGAATAGCAGTAGAACATTGTCTGATATAGTGCTGCAAGATGAGCCCCTCAGGTTGGAAGACACTCAAAAGATAACTAGGGAAGAGCTGCCTCCTCAAACTAGAGTCGACCTTAATGACGTGAATGGAGTCAAGCTTTCGGGACCTTAATTTGCTGATGTGGCTCGACTCAAAATGAGAAGAAACAGCTGCAAACATCCATTAATTTGGATTATAATACTATCCTATCTCATAGATTTGTTTTGAGCATTAAATGAATTAATTCACAGAATACATTTTGTTATTGTTGTTGTTAGGTGCCGCCAAGTCGGTCCTGACTCATAGCGACCCTACAGGACACAGTAGAACTACCCCATAGGGTTTCCAAGGAGCAGCTGGTGGGTTTGAACTGCTAACCTTTTGGTTCGCAGCTGTAGCTCTTAATCACTACACCACCAGGGCTCCGTTTTACCATAGTTATTATCATTGGTATTGATATTTTAATTGTATAGATAGTTCTTAAATAGTTACTAAAGTTTGTGGCTTTGTTTTGGCATTTTGGAACCAACAATTTCTTCTTTTTGTTTCTGGGGAAAAAAAGGGTCATAGGCCTTTGAAAATCCCTGAGTGGCACAAACGGTTTGTGCTCAACTACCAACCTAAAGGTTGGAGGTGGGAACCTACCCAGTGGTGCTGCAAAAGAAAGGCCTGGCAATCTGCTTCCTGTAAAAATTACAGCCTTGAAAACCCTATGGAGCAGTTCTACTCTGTAACATATAGGGTTACCATGAGTCTGAATGGACTGAACTGGAATGTTTTTTCTAGGCACCTAAAGGATAAAAAGCCCCCAGTCCAAGATCCCAAGCAGTCTGACACCAGAGCAGGCATCCTGAACTAAGAAGATCCATGGCCTCTATGGACTCCAGTGGGGAAGTCTGGGTATATGAAGGGCAGGGGCTGAACTATGCACCCCTCCCCCAGGATTAGTTTCCCGACTGACATGGGTATGGGTGTTTGGAAAAGAAACTTGGGATATTCACACCTGTCAAGGGGTCCTAGCTCAGCCCAGCCCTTCAAGTGAGAGTAATAAAGGTGGAAGGGTCATTTCAGGCCTTCCTATCCCCACCGCCCAGGAACCTCAGTAAGGGTGGTCCTAGGACTGCAGGTGCAGGGCTGTTTAGAGAGAGGCTGGGGACAGAGCTGAATTTGACCAAACTCTGCTCCCATTCTATGGAGGAGACAGACTGCAACACAAAATCACAGCTTGCTCTAGGAATGAGAATTTTGAGAGAGGGATGTTCTTTGGCTCTGGAGGGCCCAGGGACAGAACCTGAAGAAGGCAGGGAAAACCCCTTGGTGACTCCACGTGTTACAGAGTAGAACTATGTTCCATAGGGTTTTCTTGGCTGTAATCTTTATGGAAAGAGCCCTGGCGGCGTAGTGGTTAAGTGCTTGCCTGCTAACTAAAAGCTTGGCTGTTCAAACCCACCAGCTGTTCCACAGGAGAAAGATGTGGCAGTCTGATTCCGTAAAGACTGACGGCCTTAGAAACCCTATGGGGCAGTTCTACTCTTTCCTATAGGGTCACTATGAGTCAGAATCAACTCAACGCAATGGGTTGTGGTTTGTTTAATCTTTACGGAAGTAGATTGATAGGACTTTCTTCCAAAGCACCACTGGGTGGGTTTCAACTACCAACTTTCAGGTTAGTAATTGAGCACAAACCACTTGTGACACCAAGGAAAGGGGAGACATTTATGTAGAGTGAACTCCAAGTATAAACTGCAGCTTGGTTGGGCAAAGGCTTGTTGGCATGAAAAACCAAGATGTGCACCCAAACCAAACCCGTTGCCATCGAGTCAATTCCTACTCACAGTGACTCTACAGAGTAGAACTGCGCTATAGGATTTCCAAGGAGCAGCTGGTGGATTCGAACTGCCGACCTCTTGGTTAGCAGCCGTAGCTCTTAACCACTGCGCCACCAGGGCTCCAAGACGTGCATAGGCGGCTCTAATTTTCCAGAACTGCTGAAGGGTAAAAAGGAGAAGGGGAGGTATGCATAGTCATACCTATTCAAAACCACAAGGGTTTTGAATTTACAGCCCGAGGGGCCTGGGTTTTACCCAGAGAGCAAGGGAGGTCGCCACCCTTCCCCGAGCTTCGGTTTCCCCGGGCATAAATCAAGAACTCTTTCTCTCCCTCCCTCCTCCTTCCGCAAAGTAGGGCCACGGCAGTCCGCAGTCAATCACCCGGGCCACTTCCTGACAGGTCAAATCCCTCAGACTATCCCGCTCTCCACATTACGTAATTCATTCCTAGTGACGCACGCGCAGAAGCCTTCTCCCGGACTCGCAGTACAAGCTTCGCCTCCGCCCAATCCCATCTCTCATTGGCTAGAATCAACTGCTCGTCTCTGTCGTTGTTAGCAGCCACGTAGGCGGGTACAATCCTGGTCGCTAGGATACCACCTACTTCCGTTTCCTTCCCGCTCTTCAAGGCGTCTGCAAGTCTAATCTCGTCCATTCTACCAATGGCAAATGGACAGTGGGCGGGACTTCATTTGTCCAGACCAACGAAACGTAGACTTGGCCCGACGTAGCACGGCTAATGACCGTAGGGCAGCCCCTGTAAAGTGGCTCGGGCGTCCCCACGCCCATCTTTCCTCTTCCTCTCAGCCCCGCCCCTTTCCATCCCGGTTTCAGCACGGCGCTGGCCGCAGTCTGACAGGAACGGGATAGAGCCAAGATGGCGGCGGCCGACGGCGACGACTCGCTTTACCCCATCGCGGTGCTCATAGACGAGCTCCGTAACGAGGATGTTCAGGTCCAGAGGCTACAGGGGACTTGGGAAAGACGGGAAGGGAGACATGGGGGCGCGGGCGGCCCTCGCGGACAAGGCTCCGTGTTCGCTGGGAGTGGCGGAAGGGGGCGCCCGCCAATCAGCGCCCAGCTCTTATCTTTCCGAGTCCCTGGACCGGATGAGAAGGCGCTCTGGATTGGGTGTAGACACAGTGGAGGGCGGGAGCGCGGGCCAGCCTGGAGGGTCCCGGGCCTGCCAAGTGCGCGCGGCGGCCCCGGAGCTGGGAGGCCAAGGCTATGGTGGGGGTCTGCCAACTGTGGGGAGAGAAGAGGTCTCCGTGATTGGCCGTGGCCTGAATGGCCCCTTGGGGATGGGCAGGGCGCGTGACTAGTTCCGTGGGGGAGGGGCCGCCTGGTTGGTCGGGGCCCGGATAGGTTTGCTCCTCTCTGGGTTTGGGCATCTGGGCTGCAGTGCTAGGGGTCAACTCCCCAAACGGGTACCAATGGCCGAAGGCTTCCTTCCCAATTCAACTATGTGACCTTAGCAGACCGCACTCTTTTAAACCGCTGTTTGTGATAAAATGTGGCCTAATGATAGTTCTGGTTTCATTGGGTGGTTGTGAGAACTGAATAAGTTAATAATACAAGTAAAACAGAATGGTGCCTGGCCTATTGTAAGGGCCCAATAAATGTTAGCTGTAATTATTGGGAGTGGTGATTGGAGAAGTCCCATCTTCCCTTTGGGCCTCAATTTCCCGTTTATAAAATTGAGGGGGGGATGCACTGGGAAATCTGCCAAAGATGAGCTCAGCCTCCAAGGTTCCAGACTCTCATTCTGGAGTCAAACAGGCTCCAGTTGTACTCCTGGCTCTTCTTGCTAAAATTGACTTGGGCACATTAGTTAATCTCACTAAGCCTTGGTTTCCTCTTATGTGCAATGGGGATAATTATCTAGTTCATAGGGCTGTTGTATGAATTAAGTTGTTCAATAAACACCTGACATGTATCAGGTAAGGAGCCCTGGTGGCACAGTGGTTAAACTGCTTGGCTGCAGGTCGGCTCTTCACCCAAAGGTCGGTGCTGCCTTGGGAGAAAGATGTGACAGTCTACTTCCTTAAAGGTTACAACATTGGAAACCTTATGAGGCAGTTTCTGCTCTGTCCTATAGGGTTGCTTTTAGTTGGAATTGACTCGATGGCAGTGGGTTTGGTTTTTTTTTTTTTTTTTTCAGTGTATTAGATAGGATACATTGGGTGGCACAGATGGTTAAAGCGCTCAACTACTAGCCAGAAGGTTGCCAGCGTGAACCCACCCAGAGGTGCCTTGGAAGACAGGCCTGGCGATCTGCTTCCAAAAAGTCACAGCCTTGAAAACAGTTCTACTCTGACACACGTGGGGTCATCATGAGTTGGAATCAACTTCAAGGCAACTAACAACAACAATGTGTATTAAGTATGGTGCTGAGAATATAGGGGTGACACCAACTGCTATGCAGGAGACAGGTGTGAAGCATGTAAACAGCTAAGTATATTATTAACATGTGAGAAGTGGTAGGAAGGAAACAAACAAGATGTTGAGATAGTGAACCGGTAAATATCGGTTGGGCATCTACTCTTGTACTGGGCACTGTTCTAGGCACAGGTATAGAGCAGAGAAAAAGACACAAAAATTCCTGACCTCTCAGAGCTTAAGATGTAGTGACAATAAACAAGACAATAAGGAAAATGTGTGTTAGATGGGGATAAGTGGCATGGAGAAAAATAAGGAGAGATGGGGTGCAGTTTTTAGAAGAGTGGTCAAGGGAACCTCTGCTAAGGAGACATTTGAACAAAGACCCAATAAAGGCAAAGTAAAGAGCCATGAGGCTCTCTGGGCAGAGAACACGACGCGCCAAGTACAAAGTGGGGTGGTGGAGATCCGTTTTAGGTAATGCAGGAGGACCTCTCTGAGGCTGTGAAGTTCAAGATAAGATCAGAAGAAGGAGCCAGCGCTGGGAAGAAAGTGAAGAGGCTTCTAGGAAAAGACATGTAATGGCAGTAGTTCTCAACCCAGGGGGATTTTGTCCCTCGGGACATTTTTCAATGCCTGGAAACATTTTTGGTTGTCAAAACTGGAGGAGTGCCACTAGCATCTAGTGGGAGAGATCAGAGACGCTACTAAACATCCTGCCGTGCACAGCACAGCCTCCCACAACAGAGTTATCCAGCCCAAAATGTCTGTAGTGCTGAGGTTGAGAGGCGCTGCCTTCTGGGAAAGCCTGGAGGCACAGAGGAGCTTGGTATTTTTAGATTTCTGTTCTTTATTCCATTTCTATTGCTCCTGTAACAAATTGCCTAACTTAGTGGGTAGAGGTTGTTGTTGTGTACTCTTGAGTTGATTTTGACTTATAGCGACCCCATGTGACAGAGTAGTATTGCTCCATACAGTTATCTAGGCTGTAAACTGTATGGGAGCAGATCACCAGGTCTTTTCTCCCACAGAGCAGCTGGTGGTTTCAAACTGCCAACATTTCTGTCAGCAGCTGAGTGCTTTAACCATTGTGCCACCAGGGCTCTTTCTTAGCAGCTTAAACAACACAAATTTATTATTATACAGTTCTAGAGGCTCTAGGGGAGAATCCATTTCCTTGCCTTTTCCAGCCTTTAGACTCTGCTTACATTCCTTGGCTCTTGGCCCCTTTCTCCATCTTCAAAGCCAGCCAGGTTGTTATCTCTTACCCTTCTTCCACAGTCACATCTATCTCTGACCGCAGCCAGGAAACGTTCTCTGATTTTAAAGATCCATGTGATTATTTGGGTCTACCCAGAAAATCCATAATAATCACCCCACTGTGATCCAATCTGCAAAGTCCCTTTTGCCATCTGACGTAACATATTCACAGGTTCTGAGGATTAGGACATTGACATCTTGGGGGCGGGATTATTCTGCTTACCAGCATCACAGTCACGAGAAAGTAGAGATTGAGGGGGAAAGTGGGAGGAGGTTGAGGATGGTGGTGAAGTGCTTTCTCTTACATTTTCAAGTAATTTAACTTCATTTTTGTTTATTCTTTTGTTACTTTTGTTGAATAGGAAAATTAATAACAGTTTACTTTAATTTTAGGGTTTTTCTTATCAACTAAACCAGATATCAACCATAAAAAGTGTGACGCAAACTGCAAAAGCCTGCCAGAAACTGCTGTATAGAATTGTAAATTTGTCTTATCCTGCTAGAAGAGGATAGTCCTCAAACCACTGCCTCTTAATTTAAATCTCAGAAAGCCTCATGGCTGCAGGTGGGTGGATCCAAAACCAAACCCATTACCGTCCAGTCGATTCTGACTCATAGCATCCCTATAGGACAGAGTAGGACTGTCCCATAGGGTTTCCGAGGAGCAGCTGGTAGATTCAAACTGCTGACCTTTTTGGTTAGCAGCTGAGCTCTTAAGCACTGCGCCACCAGGCTCCCAGGTGGGAGCAGGGCAAAATTATTATTATTTTTTAGTTGTACTTTAGATGAAGGTTTACAGAGCAAACTAGCTTCTCGTTAAGCGATATACATATTGTTTTGTAACATTGGTTGCCAACCCTACCGCATGTCAACACTCTCCCCTTCTTGACCTTGGGTTCCCCATTACCAGCTTTCCTGTCCCCTCCTGCCTTCTGGTCCTTGCCCCTGGGCTGGTGTGCCCATTTAGTCTCCTTTTGTTTTATGGGCCTGTCTAATCTTTGGCTGAAGGGTGAACCTCAGGAATGACTTCATTGCTGAGCTAAAAGGGTGTCTGGGGGTAGAACTCTCAGAGTTTCTCCAGTCTCTGTCAGACCGGTAAGTCTGGTCTTTTTTTTTTTTTTGTGAGTTAGAATTTTGTTCTGCATTTTTCTCCAGCCCTTTCTGGGACCCTCTGTTGTGATCTCTGTCAGAGCGGTTGGTGGTGGTAGCTGGTCACCATCTAGTTGTGCTGGACTCAGTCTGGTGGAGGCTGTGGTAGTTGTGGTCCATTAGTCCTTTGGACTAACCTTTGCCGTGTGTCTGTGGTTTTGTTCATTCTCCCTTGTTCCAGACCGGGTGAGACCAGTGGATTATCTTAGATGGCAGCTCACAAGTTTTTAAGACCCCAGATGCTACTCACCAAAGTAGAATGTAGGACATTTTCTTTATAAACTATGTTATGCCAGTTGAGCTAGATGTTCCCCAAGACTGTGGTCCCCACAGCAGAGGGCGAAATTATTACCTGGCATCAGTTGATCTCAGTAAAATGAGGAGGGCAGGGTTCAGTCAGTCACATTAAGATTAGCCAATGGTTGATAATTCTGTATATCTCCCACTTCTCGTTAAAAGCCCCATTGTACCTAGTTTCTTGGAGCTGTTTTCTTTTTTCTGGAATCAAAATGGCCCCCTGTATGCGTATAGAATAACTGCTCAGAATAAATCTTATGTTCAAATTCCAGTGAGTTTTGATTGTTTTTAACACTTAATTTTACTGCGTTTTGAGGTCGGTGAAGATGAACTCATTCAAATATGTATGGAGCCATGTTGTATACTAGGTATTGCTCTGGGTAATGGGGTACAACACTGAACAAACAGGCAAAAACCTGTGTCCTGGAGCTTGGTTTCTTTTGGAGGCTGACAAGAAACAACTACAGTGTAGAGGGTGGAAGGTGGTGATACGTGATATGAAGGGAAATAAAGCAAGGATAGGATTAAAATTTTAGATAGAATGGCGAGGAAGTCCTTGCTGAGAAGGTGGCTTTTGAATAGGGAAGTGAAGGGGAGGGAACAGGCCCGGTGGTTATTTGGGGAATAGCATCCCAGGCACAAAGATCTTGAGGGAGAAATATGCAGTGTGTTCTGGGAACTGCCTGAAGGCCTTTGTGGTGGTAGTCAGAGAATGAGCTGTTGATTTTAGGAGGTGAAGGGAAAGGACCTTGTGTACCTGTGTAAACCAGGGATTGGCAAACCACAGGCCCTTCACCTGTTTTGTAAATGAAGTTTTATAGAAACACAGACACACTCATTTGTTTACATATTGTCTGTGGTGCTAAAACA